ACGTTAGTAAGTTACTATAAGATATTATTCTGAGATAAAAGCTATTACAGTTCTCCCTTACTTTATGTGACTAAGTGTTTACCCCTGATGTTTATAGTCTAATATGTTTTTGAAGTGTATAAATAGTTTGGAGTTAGATATTCCAATTTCCTTTAAGACAAGTGAAATTTTCCTAGTGTGACTTATGTACATAGTTCGAAAATAGAAGATAGTATGCAACCATAGAATAGGGACGAATGGTGAGGGAAGTTAGGAATGACCTTATGATTCACTTTAGTTATTCAAAGTAGAAGAATAAAACATTATGCTAGCAGGTGGTTAGTAAAATAACAGTAAGTTTTTAGTAGATAAAGTAAATTAGTAGTTTTAGCAAAGCTAGTAGAGGTACGATTTGAATTATTTAGCCAGGTTAACACTACTTAGTGGGTAACAGTTTGAAATTCCGAACACATATTATAACAAAAAGATTTTAAGTTAAACTCGAAGTACAGTGACAGTGGAAAAAAATCAGCTAACAGTAAGAGTGTAAACTACATAAGAATAGCCTTTAAGAGTTATCGAAAAGGGGTTTCCCAAAGATTGACAGTGTAAGCAGTTTAAATCATTAAGATTGTATATGGTAGTTATGAATACATTAGCTTTCTATTTATGTAAGTAATTTTTTTTCTAGTTAGAATGATTGCTCAGAAGTAAGTCGGAAGATGAGTCGCCATTGACGCAAAGTGCAAAGAATTGCAGAAGATAGGGAAAGTTATTTGGATCCTAACAAAAGAAAAGGATCTACAAGTACAAGACCTTAACCTTTGGTCTAAGGAGGAGATGTGAAAATCGTTAGTAAGTCCAGTTGGAGATTTGAAACCTGCATAGTTAGCATGGGATATAAAAACTATAAAATCATGCCCAATTATGTATCACAAAGGTAGTGTCATTGCACGAAACTCTAATCTTCGGAGTATTGGTCAAAGACTTAGCTTGCAACAATACTATAAGTGTTTTCAGGAAGTACCTTAAAAAGATAATCAAGTGTGGGAAGTACGGCTCATGATAGAGGCAAACAATAGATCTATAGTTAAAGAAGTTCACCGCTTAGCCAATCTAGGAGTTCGGCTTTCGGACACCGAAGATGGTGGAGTTGTTGTCCAGAAAAGGACTTGTTCCTTCTAAGTAGCTGAAGTGAAGGAGAAACAATTTGATGACCCTACTTGTTGCAGCTAAAATAGGGGATACACAAGCATAAGATGATGGATTTTGAACAAGGGGGAGATGATGGTACTTTGAGGCTCCAAGACGGATTGTATGTTCCAGATGTAGATGGGCTCAGAGAGCGAATTATGTCAGAAGCCCACAATTCTAGGTATTCTATTTACCAAGGTTCCACAAAGATGTATCATGATCTTAAGAAGATTTATTGGTGGAGCGACATGAAAAAGAACATCACAGACTTTGTGGCCAAGTATCTGAATGACCAGCAAGTGAAAGTCGAGCAGCAGAAAGCCTAATGTTTTACCATAGAATACACATATTCTTAAATGGATATGGTAAATATGGATAACATGATTATCTTGCTTAATTTGAAAGCATGATTTGATTGGGTGATTGTAGATTGACTTACCAAGTCAATGCACTTCTTGCCTGTAATGACCAAAAGTTTAACAGAAGATTATGCCAAGTTGATTCGAGAGCATTTGAATACGGCTCAGAGCCACCAAAAGTCCTATTCGGGTGTGCAACGTAGAGACCTAGAGTTTCAAGTTGATGATTGGGTGTTTTTTAAACTTTCATCCATGAAAGAAGTTCTAAGATTTCGAAAGGAAGGAAAGTTCAATCCCAGATACATCAGGCCGTATAGGATCCTACGAAGGGTCGGCCGTTGAATCTTGGTTGTAGGTTGATTGTCCTTCCTCGAAGTTTGGTGGAGCAACCATGAGGATCCTTTCTAGGTGTTAATCTTTTAGAAAGAACCTGCTTCGATACCAATTAACAAAAATTAAGAGCCCACAAAACTTTATAGAGAACCAAGTTCTCTATCTGTTCCCACAACCAATAAGCAGTAAATAACACACGATATTTACGTTAAAAGCTCCTTGCTCAAGAGATTAAAAGCCACGATATACCCTAGTAGGAGTTCAACTCCACTAAATCGAGAAAACTTTATATTACAACCTACTGCAATCTAGGAATTAATATCTTAATCCTTCACCCCTTACAATAACTCTATTACAAAGCAACAAACCATGACTAACTCTAGCCAAGAAACCAAACCAAACAATGGTTGAAATATGTCCTAGAAAGACACTTTTTGAAAGTAGTGTAGGATTACAAATGAAGAACAAAATGACATAGACTCAACAAATCTAAGGACTTAAGATATCTTCAATCTCTAGATCCAGTCTTTGAGGTTGTAGCAGCTTTGTTCTTGAGAGAGCCTTGAAGGCAGTGACGGCTAGCACTTGAGAGTATGATTTTTAGATTAGCAAGTATTAGGTTAACCCTTGTATCATGTTCTATATATATGAGTGAACATGTGAGAAGAGATAGGGTCTTTTAGTTTGACCTTAGCAAGTACAGTTATGCTGTTGTACTGCTGCCAAATGGTACAGTGCAACAGCTTTTATAGCTGTAGAGTTGACTGCACGACAACCATGAGAACTTATTTACAGTGGGTCCCTATCTGGTTCCTCAAGAATATTTGATCGGCTTCAAAACATGAAGTAATAAATCTGTTATCAGTCGGTACAGTGCAATAACTTTTACAACTTTAGAGTTGACTGTACGACGGCCAAGGTAACTGATCACATCTAATCCCTACCTGGTTCCTCGAGAACATTTGCCAAATCATCAAAATACAAAATAGCATAACTTATCAAAGATACTGTGGAAGAAATTCATAAAGGTAGTCCAAAGGAAATCACTACAATAGACTCTGTTATTAAAGTACATTGCTGAACTTGTGCTTTGCAAGTAGAATTAAGCTTAACAGAAGTTTTTTGTGTTATTCTGATTCGCTATCAAAACACCAACATGGTTATTCCAGATTGTGCGAACGGGAGTACAAATTGATCAAGTTTAGTATGTTAAGAAAGAAATAGCAAACAACTTGGGAAGATAAAAGTTTAAGAGGTCATTTATTAATGGCAAAATACATAACTACCCACCTGACCTATGACCCAAATCCCCCTTACACACTTCCTGTGGATGATAATAATATTACACATGCAACTTTTCTAAAGTGTAGCTAGTACACACCACTTTTTTCTTGACCAGCTTTTCAAAATATGTGTAAGGTCACGCGCCAATAAGGTCGTGACACGTGTCCTAACTCAAGAAAAAGAAATAATAAATTTACACCAATTGATAATATTTAAAAGAAAACAAACAAAAAAGAAACAAAGCCCCCTCCCCCATGTTTCTCATCTTCTTCTGAACCCCATACCCATCGACCTCTTCCTCTAAACTCCAACAGTCATGGCAAATCCCCACCAGAACAAAATATTAACATGAATCAAGAACCTATCCATATAATTGAAGCACCCAAACTTATCAAATTTTGAAATTTCTATTTACCAAAATTAAAATCAAAATCTGCAACCAAAATCAAAGTCAAACTTATTTTATCCCTTTATTCCGGTCACACGCTCCTCTCATTATAAAAGGAAAAAGAAAAAAAGGAAAAGAAAAAACTTGAAAATGACTAGTTTACCGGCAAGCTTTTCGAGTAGAGAAAACGATCGAAGTAATTATCCAATGAGATTGAGTGAACAATACCTTGAGAAAAGAAAATGGAGGCTAGAAAGACATTTTTTGGTAAAAAGAAAAAAGATAAAAAGAAAAGAATAATGTAGGCCATCAGATCGACTTTATTAAATCTGAGTCGTTGGAATAAAGCTGCAGATGGGCATGCTGACAAAACATGTATAGATCTGACGCGCTCACTTTATTTGTTAAACATGCGCGCCTCATTTGACAAAAGTAGTGTGTCTTAGATACACTTTAGAAAGATTGCGTGTATAAAATAATTTTTGTTTGCAGAAAATGTGTAAGGGGGATTTGGGTCATAGGTCAGGTGGCAACTTATATATTTTGCCTTTATTAATCAAAGTTGTGAGTATCAGAGCATCCAGTTGCAATAACATACTAGTACAAAATACTTATTGACAAACCAGAGGAAATTAACTTCTTCCAACAGATATAGAGAACAAACTTGGACACACAACAGAATAAACGCCAGAGAGAATATATCAGAACACTAAGCATATGCATCAGGGTTCTGAAGGAGATACGCTACGACTGCTTTGTACATTCCCAAAACTTTCTCCTTGCCTGCCTTAATTTCCTCTTCCTTGAGATTGAAATCACCCTCCGTATAATATGTGCATAATAACTCACGTTAGTAGCTATATTCATATTAAAAGATGCTTGAATCTCATGCATCTTCAGTTGATAAATAAAATTCCCTAAATAAATGGATCTAAAATCCGGTCAAAACATTTCTTCAATTGTTGATTTCACTTCCCTAAAATAATGGATCATAAATCATGTCAACACATGATTTCTTCAATTCTTAAATGTACTTCCATAAAATTAAGTTCTAATGCATTATTTTAATGTATTTAAGTTATAAGTACTACCACTATTAAAAAAAAAATATACTATCAATGTAATTTAACGGGTTAATTATCATTTATTTTAAATTATTAATTAATACCTAAAACAAATTTATATATAATTATCTTTTAAATGATCGTGTACAGAACTTAAATCTCATTGTAATTTAAACAACGGAGAAGCATAATATATGCATACCATTTAGTCTAAATTATCAATTAATACCTAATAATTTTTTTCATACATAAATATCTGCACAGAACTTCAAATTTTTATTTGGGCAACGGGGGAGCATAAGTACGTACTATATGCATTGCCTCTTGGTCAAAGTGTCTCGTTTAAACGTACTCCTTTTAATTTTTTTTTTTTTTTTTTTTTTTTTTTTTTTTTTTTTGAGGTGTTGCCGAGAAAGTGACTTTAAATTTTAGGTTTAATGATTTAGATTTTAGAAAGGGAGGCCAGCCGGACAACTCACAGAAAAATAAGTTAATAATGAATATAGAAAAAGCTAAATTAATCAATCATAGCCTAACATAGTAGCTAGTTCATTACAAGAGGGTCTATAAATTATGGCATTAATGCTCATATTAAAACTTCATAGAGCGTGAAATACTATTTTCAACATGGCACGATTAAAATTTAGTTTCGTTATCAGCATTCTTCTCATGGCAATCACAAGTGAGTATACCTATTTCTTTTATCTAGATTATAATTTTACATTATTATGTGTAAATATATGTTGCAACATATGAGAAAAAATTTATCAATTTGTTGATATCTTATGTTTCTATGCATGGTCTTTGAATGTTCAATTTCACTTTGTATTGGCTAAAATTTTAATTTTGATAATGTGGAATATTTCAGTCAATGTGTCGCAGTTTTTCATTAGGCAAGTATTGGCTGCAGAAGTTGATCTTGAGCTCTCGGGACTCAAGCGGAGACTACTACCACAACTTAAGAATTGGTTTACTTGTGATAGAATTTGTGGGTCCGATAGTGATTGTAGTGATTGTTGGTTTTGCTGCCGCTGTATTCATGCTGAATCATTTCCTACTAGAGTTTGTAGAGGGCCATTTGGATAGAAGATCAAGACCAATTCTGTTATAAATCTTTGAAAGCATTTGTGTAATTTCTATGTGATTTCAGTATCTTGTTTTGTTGATTTTGTTCTATTATGTCTTTCATACTTTGTATGAATAACGAAGAAAATCAAGAGAATGTCGTGTGTTTACTACTATACGATACATTTGTTTCACTCCAGAGACGGACTTGAGTAGCATGTTGTAACATAGAGACATCGTATATGAGGAAAACACTTTGATAGTCCGTTAATGCTGATAGGAGTATTTTTATCCCTTATCTATACCACTGAATATAAAATATTCTTTATCTATCTATCTATCTATATTATACTATATTATATTAAAAAGCACGAAAGCAATTTTTCCCCTTTAAAAATGAGGAAAAATGTCGTTCCTTTTTAAAAGCACCAAGGCCATTCTATTTATCTATAGTATATCCTTTAACGAAATGTCGTTCGCGTTTTTACCCTTAAAAATAAATTTCACATTGGATAAAATCGTAATTAAATTATTTATCTAATATATATAAATAGACATTTAAATGTTTTCCAACTATTTAGGAATTTGGAACGAACTAAGTTTGGTGTATTAAATTCTTCCATATTTAATGTTCGTACTACAACATATTTATATTTGTTACTGGATGTTTTTTTGAATAGTAGTGAGAAATATTGCTTCTTCCCATGTTTTTATTTATTTCCTTTTTTTATTTTGTTAGTTGATTTAATTATTTATACTAAATTAGATTAGGAATAGTCTTATTAGTCAAAAGATTTATATAATTATGAATAATAAATATATGAAATTTACGTGCGGTCCTATGCATTCAAATTTCAGCCTCTTATTCCTAATATAAACTTGCAAAAATAATAAAAACTACACATGAATTACAAAAGTACATGTGTAAAAAGAATTTCTTTGCCATAAGTTTACTTTGTTAAATGTCTTCATTAAGATATCATTCAGATATTTTTATCGCTAAATCTTTTCTTTTTCTTTTTCTTTTTTTTCTTTTATGGGAATGGTTTTCGGCTTGCTGATCTTCCGTAGTTTTGCGTCCTTGGCTTTAGTTTACTTTTCCTTTTTAAATGATTCTTTGGAAGGATTAGCATATACGTATTATTGTTATGATCAATATTGGACAAAGATTTTCATATTCAAGTTTTAAATTGTGTGTATTCTATTGTAAAGTTTTAAAATCCCTAATTTATAATTGGATTGATGCAACATAGTTTTCATAGAGCGTAACAGATACAATCTTACACCTTATTTATAATTTAAAAAAAAAAAAAAAGAGGAGTTGTTTGTCTATGAGTATTAAGGTTTGATTTCTTACTTTTTTTCCTTTTCGAAATTTGGAGAAATTGTATTTGTTCACTGCTAAATATCTTTCCGATTAAGGAAAATTTGTGAATATCAAGGTTAAACTTCTTACTTTTTCTTGTTGAAATATAGGAAAATTATGTTTGTTAGATGCGTTATATCTTTCCTACATCGACCTGACTGGTCGTTTTGCTTTTTAAAACCTCGTTCCCCTAAATAAGGCTTTCCATACTTGCTTTTACTGATTTATGACTTGCGGGGATAGTTGGTTTGGGATTTGGAAGAGTTTGAGTTGAAATCGGAACACTTGGTTCCTTAAGGCTGGCTTAAAAGGCCAAGTTTGACTTTGGTCAATATTTTGAGTAAACGATCTCAGAATCGGGATTTGATGGTTCCAATAGGTTCGGAAGATAATTTCGGACTTGGACGTATGTTCGGATTGTCTTTTGGATGACCTGGGAGCGTTTTGGCGCATAATAGTGAAAGTTGGTTCTTGAAGGTTTTAGAAGTTCTTTAAATTTGGTTTAGAGCGGGTTTTGGTGATATCGAGGTCCAAACGGGATTTCGAGATCGGAAATAGTTCTGTAATATTATTTAAGATTTGCACGCAAAATTTGGTGTCAATACGAATAGTATAAGTATGTTTCGGCACATTGGAAGTAAATTGAAGAACTTGAAGTTCATATGTTTGATTCAATTGGTTTAAGGGTGTGATTCTTAGTTTTAATGTTGTTTCGGGCGTCCGAGGGTTCAAGCGAGTCCGTTTTATCATTCCAAACTTGTGGGTATTTTCGGGGGCCCCGGGCATCAATCGGACGAGGCTCGGAATAAGTTGAAAAATTTGAGCAAGAGCTGAAGCCCCAACTTCTGTCATAACCGCACCTGCGGTTGGTTAGCCTCATGTGCGAGCTCGTAGGTGCGGGCCTTGACTCGCAGATGCGGCCAAGGGTGGGCAGCCCAAAACCGCAGATGCGACCCTTCCTCCGCAGAAGCGGTTGGCCTTCCGCAGAAGCCGCCCTAACTGGCCCAGTGAATTCCGCAGAAGCGGGCCATTGTCCACATATGCGAGGGAGCTGGTGCGGCCCACGACCGCAGGTGTGGAAATCGCTGAAGGCAGTGGCCTTCATTTAATACGGGCATTAGACGTTTTTGACTCATTTCACTCCATGGTTGGGCGATTTTAGAGCTTCTTGAGAGGGATTTTTCACCAAACTTTTGGAGGAAAGTAATCCCTACTATATATGAGTTAAATACTTAGATTTTGGGTAGATTAACATGTAAAGATTAGTGAAAATCATGGGATTAAAGGAAAACCTCGGGTTTGGCAAGAATGAGATTTTTACCACGAAAATTACCATGAAACTTAGTAATAATCATATATCTATCTTCTTTAGATTATGGGTAACGACTTCCTTCGAAAATTTCCAGAATCCGGACACGTGGGCTTGGGGATGAATTTTAGGAATCATACCTTTGGGGTTGGGTAATCACTTTAATAGCTAGAATATGAACTTGTGAACCTATAATGACTGGTTTTTATACTATTTGAATAGTTTCGGATTGTTTAGCTTCGGTTTGAGGGTTTGAGCGTGTTGGCCCAAGAACAGGTGAAGTTTTGAAGAATGACAAATGAACTCAATCATGGACTAGGTCCATCTTGTGAAGCACTATCATGATCAACCTACACATGTGAGATGCACGTGAAGGAGATAAGTCCTACTGATCAAGCAGCAATATCTCCTAATTTGATCGAAAAGGTTGCATATTGGATAAGGGGAGAAAGTCTCCTTATATGAAGAGAACACAATCCGGATAAAGAGAGTGTTAGAGTTTGATATCTTCAAGGACTCAACTACGATAGAAGATCAGAAATTGAGTCCCAATCAAACTCTAATTTCTAACCCATTAAATGACAGTGATTGTTCTCTTTTACAGGTATTGCACAAACGCAGAAGTTAAACTAAATTGAAAGCAAAAGAGCAAGGCGATTTTGCAAGCAATTTATGCGAGATTTGAGTGTGCACTCCTGAACCTACTTGAACGAGATAGAAGAACCAGTTCCATTGTGTTTTTTCTTATTCTAGTTCAATTGTAGTAGGTGATTTAAAGTTGTACCTTTCAGCTTTCATAGAAGCAATTGTATTAGGTACTTTGAGTGTTCAAGTTATAAGACAACTTGAAGTCGTCGTAACAGTTGAGGTTGTGTGCTACAAGGGATTAGAGTTAATCCTTAGATTTACAAAGAGTTTTTGTAAATGATATTTTGGTTCAGTGATTTTAGGGGAAGTTTGGGAAAATCCTACTGAGTAGTAGGTCTTGGTTTTTTCACCTTTTGAGCCAGGTGTTTTCCACGTAAAAATTTCTGTGTTCCTTATTTTATGTGCTTTTTATTCCGCAAATAGTAGTAGTTAGAACACCTAGAAGACCCAGGTTCTTTGTAGATGCATGACTAGGTAAGTCAGAATGTCTTTGTATATTTTGGCGTTTAACCCACGCGAACCAATCGAATCACAAGATATCAATTTCTGCCTTTTTTTAATTCATTTCCAATTTACCTAACATAAACAAAAGACCAACTGAAACAAATAAAACTACTCAAGCTTTTTAACACAAACAGAAAATCGAACATGGAAAGATTGCTGAAATATGATACCATCCATTATTTCGACAATCCAAATTTCAAGTCAAACCCCCACGACCAATTAATTATTACTAGCAACCACTAATCTCATTTCAATTTAACAGGACATATGAAATCAAACTCATTGATTCTGACAGATATTACTCTAATTCACCTTGATCGAACAAGAAAATAATGGCAAACAAATATTCAAGAGATTTAATTAAATCTCATTTGTAACAGTAATAAGGGAAGAGGGATTGACCTTTAATGAGAAGCAATTTCCCTTAAAAATTGAATTGAATTTACATCGAACTCCAAATAGATATCCAACAGCAAAACATTGAAGGAGCAATTGGACACGTGACCGGAAACTTCGATCGGCAACAAGGACTCGAACCGGAATCAACCTCGGCTCAAACGAAACCCAAGAAATTCTTGGAAAGCAAAGTGAAGATCAACAAAAATTGATATAAGAAATGTTCGCAACTCTACTGATCGGCA